CAGGATAGGCTCAGAGACCCTGTGACCCCGAATTGGATGAAACAGTTAGAAAATGGGATGGATTTGTAGTTAGCCCCCTTAGGCCTTTGGTGATATCATTGCTGCAGATTACATTTTGTACTTTAGTTTGAAATTAATATTATTTTATTTCTGTTGGTATACAGTTCTGCGTAGTTTTGAAACAAGTCTGGGATGGCCACCCAGAGAGCGCAGAGAGACACACCCTGCTCTCTTATTCCTCAGCTCTAAAGCACATGCAAGAATGAGTGCATTTTATAAAACTGGCACGGCCCCAATCAAAAAATTTGTGTTGCCATAAATGCAGTGTTTAGAACAAGGACACAGTGTATTTAAACACAGAGTATAGAATGGCGTCTCTGATGTAAGAATATTTGAAACACCAACACAGAATGTCAATTCTGATGCCCAGCTGTTTGAGAACATCACATACTCTTTTAGTCAGTTAAATAAGAATTCAACAGCTCAGTCTGGACTTTTATTTTAATACTAAGAGAACTGACTAAGTGTAGTGTTTGATCTAAAGATTGAACAGATTGAACTACATTGAGTTAAAAGCTACGGATGCCTTATTTTATAAGTTACCGTCTGATTGACATGAAATAATAGGTTTGAGGCAGTTCGATCATTTCTGCTGTAGCAGCTAAGTCAGATGCTGTGCTTGAGGCTCCACTCGGTGGCAGATCTTCTCATCTGTTTTATCGCAGTTCAGGAGCTAGATTCACACCTTTCCCTGTAGCTCCTTTTTATTCTTTCTGGCTTACAAGGTGTCCTTGGATGTAGCGAGTGAACAGCGCTTACAAACACAAACAGCATGTGAGCTCATTTTGCAGGTGTAAACAGCCATACCTTAACAAACCCTTCTCTCCTTGAAGAAATAATGCAGTAGTGTCAGAAATCAGCGGCCTTCCTGTGTTCCTTACAACAGTATTATGGCTGTACCATTCTTGACCTTTTCAGATTTTCTGTTTAATGAAGTAAGTATCAGTGAGTCAGTGCAGTGGGTCTGTTGCCGTGAGATGTACTGCTCTCAACATATAAGCTCTTTGCTCCAAATATTGGGAATCCTCACAGTGAGCAGCGAAAACAGCTTAAACGCAGCGAAGCATGTACTAAACAAGACGGAGATAATCGCAGCCTGTTCTGTCGGGGTGGGATGTTGAGGTTATGTCATGGTGGATGGTGTCTGGGTTTCAAGTGCACTTTCTACCAGGTTCTGATAGGATGGCGGAGAATTGCTGTGGCCTGGACAGTGAGCATCTAACCAGCCATGCGTCGCCTATTAATCTGACTGTGGGCTAGTATCTTGGCCAGCAGGTGTGAAAACAAGGGTCCACTTGCTAAAAATGACTTTGTTCTGCATTTTAAGTTTAACAAGGTTTTAAATAATGTCTGGTGTAGCTGATGTTTATATAGTATAAGATGGCCTTGGAAAAACAACACCTGAGATATTTGCTTATGGAAAATGGACAAAATTAAAATTTGAGTATACATACATGAGAGTATACATAACAAAAACACATCAGGATATCATGCAAGAACACGTCAGGACTTTAAAATGTGGTTTATTTATCGGTAGCAAAGGAACAAGTAATAGGTTTATTCCATGCAGAAAAAAAAGAAGAAAGAAAACAACGTTTCGGCCGTGGAGCCTTTTTCAGGTGTGAATATTACTTGTTCCTTTGCAGCCTACGCATGCTGACGCAGCTACCCACCTGAACTACTTATTTATGGGTATATACAAATCTAATTGCTAGCATGATAGCCTAGCCCTAAGGATGAGATTTACGATGCTACCTGCCCACATGTATGAAGCTGGGGGAAGGGATCTATTTATACCCCAGCAGGATGTTCTGTCAATGGGGGTTGTGATCCTTCTCACAGATTTTCATTTCTGAGCTCCAGTTGGCTGTAAGAATCAAAAGGCTTTTGGGACCCGAGTCATGAACAGGTTTACAGCATGAGCAGAATTTTTGGTGCAGAGAAAAAGCTGCAGTTTTATTCCTATTCATAAATCACGTGACAGTGAAGCGAAGAATGGGGTGGGAAAAAAGCACACTGGGAAATAATGTTAAGTGTGCTTAGAGTGATGAAGCATTTTCAGTGGCCTTTTGGGTTTCTCTGAAACATGTCAGTAAGGCGGTTTAAGAACCAGACTGCCTGGCAGGTGCTGCTCTTTTCTTTCTTTTCTTGTAAGAGACGGGGAGAAGGGGCAAGTGAGGCGTTGTGTGTGGGTGCTGGGGTGGCAGAGGGGCAGAACCACCCCCAAAAAACCAAATCTGATGGGGATCATGTCCTGGATGAATCTCTCCATCCCGACCCCTCTGGGTTTGCATGTCTCCCCCTATTTATGCAACTGTCCCAGTTCAGGCACTCCTCCACTGGAACACGCGGCCTGGACGCACAGGGAAGGAGGTGGAGCAGAGGAGACGTAGAAAAAAAAAAGAACAAAGGAGACTGTGATATAAGAGTGCGTTTGAAATCTTGTGCTTCGCTCATCACAAGACACCGTTTGTCTGCTTGGCCGTGACATCAGCAAGTGCGCAAGAGGGGTCATTTGTCTCTGATCAGTACAGATGGGGCTGGAAAGAGTGTAGGCGGGCTGAGGAGAGGTCTGCCTCAGCTTTTTGCCTTAGGTTGTGTGTGGTCTTACAGAGGCCTTTTCATTTCGAAGAAGGGAGCCTTCTGCCCAGTGTGTGCTGGCTTATAGATTGGTGTGCAGGGATTCCTGGTCTCTCCTGCTGGGCTGTTGTCCAGCTGCTCCATGTTTCTGAGGCTATTTTTGGAAAGCAATCCAACTTCCGGCTCCAATCTTGTATGCTTATGTACTGGGCTTAATGGCTGCAACCACCTTCAGAATAGTTTGGATACACTTCCTGTCATCCCAGTGGATACTGGGACTTAGAAAGCAAGTATTTCAGCTTGCAGTGTTTCATCCCTGGAACTATATAATATAACTTTATTTCTTAAATTTACAGAGCATAAGGGGTTATAAATGCACTGAACTAATCAATCAGTATGTAGGCACCTTAGATCTGGTTTAGAGCTGCCTAATAAAGTTTAAGTGTCAAGCATGCACAGTGTCTTGTCACACAGTCTGTCTTAAATCAGTGGTCAACCCCCGTCTGCTCTAAATTATTTTGAGTAGTCTAGTGAGAGAGTCTTCTGTAAAAAAAATAACAAGGGAAAGAAAACCTTCGCTTTCAATACTGATGTTCCTGGCAAACAATGAGCACAAGGCAGGATACACCTTCGACAGGACACCAGCTTATTGCAGGGCACACAAAGGTACAAACACATGTACACTCACACAGGGGCCAATTTTGCAGAACCCAGTTAACCAACTAGCATGCCTTTTGGCTGTGGGAGGAAACCGGAGCACCCGGATGAAACTCATACAAACCGGGGGAGAACCTACAAACTCCACACAGATAGCACCCCAGTAATTGAACCCAGGGCTCCAGCACTGCAAGGCAGCTGTGTTAAGCACCGTGGTGTTATTTAATAACTTATTGCTACATTGCTTGTGATACTGTTGAATTAAAAGAATGCTTCATATACTGTACATTATTTAAAGCTATTTGCTAATATTGTAAGTTGTAGTAATTAAAGGATTACCTGAGATGATTAAGGCACTACAAAGGGATGATTGTTTAATAAGTGGCTTTAGAAAAAGCTGTAATGGCCTCTAAGTACCGGAGGACTGAAATGTATGTTAAAATATAGTATTTTCTATCACATAAAAGGTGTAACAGCTTTAGAGTTCAAAGAAGGGCAACAAGAATGGTTCCTGGAGATTGTCTGATACAGATGGATTAAATGTTTACATTCTTATGACTTTAGGAGATATTAGATTGAGAGGAAATTTCATCCAGTTGGTATATAACATCACAAAGTGTCTGGATGTGATATTTCACTATTTCATGCTCGGTAGAAAAAAAGAGCACATGGGGGATTAATTCCAGACTGAATATAGGAAAGGCGTCTTCATGCCAAGTTGGGTATTTGAAACCCAGGCTGAAGAGAAGTAGCTAGAAGATATTTTACATTAATTTGACTACTAACCTGCTAATGTACTAATCAAACTAGTACAAAGGGCCAAATGACCTTGTCTTGTATCTATGTTTTCTTATCTTATTACGTGTGATAAAAACATAGTGTACTGTAAGTTTGAATGCTGTACCTTAATGGTACTTTTGCGTTCATTTATATACTTTTTTAATACCTGACAATGGTCTTTCGGCCATTATTGATAGCCTTTCCTGATGAAGTGAGTGCTTATTTTAGATAATTCTACTCAGATTTATTTTTACGGAACTCTACATTTTTCATACAGGGCATTTGTGATAAAATCTGGAGATGTATTGAGGCTCTGTTCCTATTCGAACCCGCTTGGGCTGCTGTAGATGCTGGATATCACGCGAGTGCCCTTGCATTGCGGTGTCAGTGCTGTGAAACTGTTGTCATTTCTCTGCAGACCCAGAGGAGGGCAGTGTGGTTCTGCTGCCGCAGGACTCCCAGCACCACCTGGTCCAGCTGGTGTACTTCCTGCCCAGCCTGCCGCCTGACCTGCTGTCCTGTCTGAGCCGCTGCTGCACCGCGGGGAGAGTGTCCGCCAGCCTGGCTGCTGCTCTCATCCGTATTGTGCACATGAGGTAACCTTGTCTCCCCTGGCTTTACACCTCCTCTGACCTGTCCCTTGGTCCGTTTCACACTGCAGCTCGTCTGACTGGGCCCTTGGTCCATTTCACACTGCAGCTCGTCTGACTGGGCCCTTGGTCCGTTTCACATGACTGCGTTGTACTGCATCACAAACTTAGCAGTGGCCGTGCTTCTCTTACCTTCAAAAAGAACAAAGTCAAAGGATATTTAGCCATAAAATTGACTGTTAAAAGACAGTAAGAATGTTAAGTGGATTTACAATGTGCACGTATCTACAGGGTTGCATCTTGATGCGATAGAATGTGCTGTTTGTGATGAGAGGACTTTCAGTAGGAAAGCTCGAGAGCTCTGTGAAGGGCGATGTCTGCCTTTTTAGATCCACAGGGCCTGTGGATCATGATAGATAGTGAGTACAGCAAGCTGTCTCTTCCATTTCTTTTTCATTGCAGTTTTATTTTTTTGTTTTTGCTTTTCCACTCCTTGTGGGCAATTTTACACATCTTAAGGTAGCTGTTGAACGGCAAAATGAATGTTTATTGTCATCATCAGTACTTGACTTCTTAGAAATATGAAATGAACTAATTTAGATATTGGAGATGTTTGGCTCTCTGTGGGATTTACAAAGAGGCTCGTCTTTGTTGACTGCAGAGTGGAGACGTGAACTGGATATTCTTTAGTATAAATTGGATCAAACAGTCTCACACAATGAGAGCCCTGTAGTTAGAGATGGCAGGGAACGCACAGATCCTTCTTGTTCAAATGTTTAAGCACTAAGCTGCGACTTGATTTAGTTGTTTGTGTCAAAAACGGACAGCAACAAGGCTGACACTCATGGAGCACTGCAGTGAAATCAGGCAACTCTAACTGGCCTTCATGCTCGTAGTTTTTAAATCCTCAACTTAGATTTTCATCAGTCCTCTGGGGCAAGACAGAACACAGTGCCAGGGTTTCTGATCTGGAGATGTTTGTGCACTCCTCAGGGGTGATTGACAGGGTACAAGCCCCATTATGTAGGCTAGGTCTGAGATAATCAGTGCAGTGGTTTTAGATCTGGGGCTTGTGTGAAGGGGTGCCGACAGCCTAGTTCAGTGAAGCAGCAGTGTGTGATTGTCACTGGGGGAGCAGGCTCCTGGCTGCTGTGATGCTGTCCTGGGCTGTGTCATTAGCCCCAGGCCCCTCACTCATTTTATGGAGAGCAGTGGGGTTGTGGAACCGATTATGTGTTCCCCATGCTGTTCTCTGCGCCCATGTGGTTTCATGAGCAATGCACCCCAGAGCTCCTCCTTTTTATTCCCCCCCAAGCTTTTGGTTAATTATTTTCTTTTCATCTCAAACCTTATGAGTCTCTGTGGCTTTTTCAAACCGGCCCCCTTGACGTGCATTTTACGAAAGAGCAGAGGTTCTGATGCAGACGCATGGCTATCCTCAATAGGGTTCTTTAAAACCAAAAACACAACAAAACATTTGTGTGGTTCAAGAATTCTCCACTCTATTGTGTGTGAAGGGCACATATGTTCAGCAAGTGTGTAGGGTAATCACACCTTGGTGTTCACCCTTACCAATCTCAAGCAATGTTAATTCCTAGATGTCTCCTGTGTTCATAAGAAAACTCCATAAAGGCACTCCTACACTTTTTTATGTAATACTTTACAAAGGTGTTAAGCTGCTGAGCTATGAGGAGGTATTGGGAATGACCCTTTCAGGGTTTTATGTTTTAAGATGCGTGTCAATTATGTAATTGGAATGCGATTTAGACGTATGTTTACAATGCAATAGGAATCACAGAATCATGGCGACCAAGGGTTAGTAGTGAAGAATATTATAAGATAACATTCAGATGACATCATGTTAGGAATAGACCACCAAATTCAGTGGTCAACTATAATAATATCAGGAATGTTTGTAGAAAGAGAGAAGTGGTTATTGTGGGAGAATTTCATTTCCCTCACGTAAATTGGTTAATAAGTGTTACAATCACAAGGATGTCAGGAACTGAAATGGGAGACTGGCTAATGACTGCTTTCTTACTCTATCAGAGCTTTGGTAAGAGGAGAACCATTAGAGAGCAATGACGATATGGTATGTTTTGAAGTACAGACACAAGGCAAAGTGTAAGAGAAGCAAGATAGGATAAGGATATTCTGCTGGAAGCAGGGTAAGGTTTGTTCTGTAAGTAAATCAAAGGCTAAGAAACAGTGGCCAAAATAGTTTAATAAATCAAAAAAAGGAGAAGGTCAAGTAAAAAGAACAGCCTTCATTTAAAGAAAAAGAATATAACAAATCAGAAGCACAGTTAATTATTTTAATTTATATTGGAAAGACTGAGAGATTAAAGAGAAATAGGCTAAAATAAGCCTTGCTTTTTTACATGTTTTTTTACATTATTACAAATACATAATGATGTTTCTTAGAGATAATAGATGTATTAAAAGTATGGATCACCAAGTGTTTAAAAAAGAAAGAAACTGACAATATGTCCCAGCAAAACAAACATTTCCTTTGCTCACTTCTGTATTTACATTGTAATGTAAATGTACTGTATCAAATTATATTTAGATATAAGAAAAATTACAGTATTAACACAGAAATCCCAAGCTTCAAGAACACTTATGTTGACAAAATGTCATCTTTAAAGACTTCAGAAATGTTGCGATGTAGTTAAGATCATGGATGCAGTTCTAAATGAATGGTAGTTAAATGAATTAATTCTGTAGCAGTCAGTATTTTGTAAATCCTCTTTAGGCTCTGATAACCACATGGAGGTGCTTCCTGTGCATTTTAAAAGGCTCTTAAACTCCTCATGAGGTATATTCAAACTCTTCCCCTACAGAAGCCACCACAGCCCCTCCAAGTTGTGTGGTTTGGTCTTGTGATCTGCTCTCTTTAGCACATACGATAAACATTTTACTAGAGACACTGAAGAGCAATCATGATTACTTATTTTGATGCTCTCTAAACCACTTGGGCATTGAGCTTGATACAGGCTTTTTATTGTCATTCTGTTATATAGTCCTGTTGTAAAAATGCTTCAAGACAGAATTCAAGACATTTCTATAAGCACTGGAATTTGTTCCACAGTTTTAATTTGTGCATCATCAAAGGATGCAAGAAGGATGTATCGCTGAAAGTGCAGAGTTATATCAAAGAATGTTTTGTTGAAAGTGTACACTGTACTTGTAATCTGTACTTGTGATCTCATTTTGAATATTATGTACGATTTTGATCACCTAGTTACAGTAATACATTGCTGCTCTGGAATCAGTCCAGTGAAGAGCAACCATATATTTCTAAGCTGGATGCAAGATATTGTCCAGTGTTGTGTCCACAGCCAGACACTAGATGGCAGTGTTTCTCTTCTCTTGCTCTGTAGCAGACCTGTGTGCTCTGATGTATTCATTCACAAGAGTGTTGGTGAGTGACAGAACACTGTGGTAAATCTGAATTTCCACTTGTTGTACTGGGTACGAGTTTAATTGAACAAATAATTAATCATCAAGCTGAGCATGCAGAGTGAACAGTTGTTCTACATCGTAAGCTAATCATACGTTAGGACTGTGGAGGGGTGATGCACACCTTCTTCTGAGTGACAGAAACGAACTGACAAAAGCTGCCTTATTGGGTTTTTATTTTTCAGATTGTCTTCAGAACGGTGTTTTAAAAAGTTCTATTGAAGAGGGAGAACTGTAGATTAAAACATTGTATGGTTTTGTGTGCTGCTGTCACATTTGGATTTTCAGTCTGTTGACTGCCCCTTGTTAAACACTTTGTAGATCATGTTTTTTTCTCCGGTTGTTTACAAGGATGCTTTGTGGCTAAAGGCTAAGACCAGCGGCATGTACTGCTAATCTGATTTCTTTGGGAAATTGTTGATTTAATGTAATGGCTGTGAGCTAAACACGCTATATAAATGTCCCGAGTGTTTTGTATGCTTTAGGATTACCCTGAAGATTGTTATGCTCAAAAGCGATAATGCCATTTACATCTGTATCGCTTTAAAATGCATTTTAATGTCCAACTAAGGCAGTAAATGAGCTGCTTCCACAGACATTCTGTAGGCAAACGAGAGGAAAGAAATCTCTAGAGATCGCACAACATTGATTAAAACAGTTACTTAACAGAAGAAAAACAATGAAGAATTGCTAGTGGGCGCAGCTCTTTTTAGACGAAAAAAGAAAATTGATTTAGTCTTTCATAGATATTTTTTTATCAGCTGGGAAGGGATGAGCAGTTGTATAAAAAGAGACTGTTCCTAGTAACGATAATTAGATCTTCTCCTGTTGTATTTAAAGCCCATCTAATTAGATGTCTGTAGGCTTTTTCCTGGCAGTTTCCATCATTTTCGGAAGAGGTTCTAAAGCTGCACACAGCCAACGGCGCTGTGGCCAAAATAACCCTGTATAAGTGCCTGGAAAGGGGCTGTGTGCCCCGCCAGCTGTGTTGTTCAAGTCCGGCAGCAGCAGAAAGGTGTGCTTTGCGTCAGAGACGCATGCAGAGATTGCTCAAATGGGGCTTTCCAGGGAGGGGGCAGGAGTGACACTGACGAAGGTAATTCGCATGTACAAACTGAAGAACCGATGCCAGACTTGGTGCTCATTAATCTGCAGAAACCAGAAAAGATGCAAGGCATTCTTCACCTCTGCTCATTTCTTTTGTTGTTGGTTTCTGTCTGATACAGCGCTATTCAGAACTAAAATACAAATTGATAGCAAGATCAATGCATAACCTCTCCTGAGCAAATTATTTTAGACCTCCTCGTTGATCACACTGGAGAATAGGAATAACTATTTCTACTCATTATGTACAGTTTTATAATAGAAAGTGGATACCGTAGAAAAAGAATATTCAAGTATCCACCAAAGAACGTGTATACAACTGTAAACATCTACTCAATTACATTGTTTTTTTTCTATCTTAGTATGAATTCAGACATTTCTTATTTAAAAGGCTGCAAGTATTTATGATGTGTCCTTCTATGCAGTGCTCTCCAGCTGTTGTTCTGGAGCGAGGAGCTTTTGGACATTGATACTGTCAGTCCTGCAAGCAGTGCGTTTGTCACAGTGTCTGTTATGTGCTCAATTATGCATTACTTTGATCAGGGATTTCTCTTTTGCAGCGGAAAAAGATTTTATTGTAGTATGCAAAAATGAACGGTTGCGCTATAAGCCTAAATTAGAATAGTTCGAATATTGTGTGTAAGTTTTGGTGTGTAAGACCACCTTATAGAAAATATATTCTGCTCTGGAAGCAGACCAGAGAAAAGCAAACAAATACATTCTTTAGCTTAAGGGAAACTCCCATGCTAACAGGATGGAGGAACTGAACCATTTTAGTCTTGAACATGAGATGGCCCCAGCAGATGTCAGAATAACAGTGAAACATCAGGGGACACAAGTGGAAACTACATGGAAGCACGTGTCTGGAAAGACCAGAACAGGAGGCACTTCTTTGCACTTAGGGTTGTGGGAGTGTGGAGTAAGCTGCCCAGCCATGTGGTTGTAGCTGTAATACATAAATAATTCTAATTAAATTAATAATTAACTGACAGCATAAAGCTGCAGATCACGCAAAGCATTTAAGTTGCCGATACTCATTTGATCAGGAAATGGACTCCGTGTGTGCTGTGCCATGGTACGGCAAAAGTTGTTGCTCTTAAGAGAAAATCAACATCTAATTTGCTGTATGAGGCTGACATTTGACTCACGTCTTCTGGAATCGATGAGGCAAAATTGTCAGCATTTGATGTCAAAGGGCCTGGGACGGATACTCAGAAAAATGGATATGTCTGCCTGTATAACTATAGGCACATATCAAGCCTACACGTGGACCATCTGGTACAATTGATAATGGACATAAATTCCTTCTTTGAGGCAACATGTTATGGAATCACACCCCAGGATTTCACTGAATAAATGTTCCTATATAGTGCGTCTGAGAGAGCTGTGTGCTCTTCTGCAGCCTGTTTGTGAGTAGTGCACAATGGTAGTGTTGAATGTGTTTACAGTTAACAAGTGAAAGCCTAAGGATGTTTAAGTGCTGTCGTCGACTAGATCATGTGTAAACTGGTACCCATGTGAGGCCTGTATAACACAATACCACTGTTCAGTGCATGTTACCCATACAGCCCAGCAGATTTAATCGCAGCATTTTTGTAACAAGTATGCAGTACTGTTAGCTGGTTAGGAAGGTTTCAAAAAGTCCCAATTATGTTCCCATGTGTGGGAAATAAAGATTTTTTCACCACCAATAACCTCCTTTCGCCCCAGCTTTTCTGATTGACCCAAAAGAAAGTGAACAGAAGGCCATTCTTTACGCAAAGGGGAGTGGGAGTATGGAACAGGCTACCCAGCCATGTTGTTAAAGCCAATACTCTGGCTTCTTTCAAAAATTGGTTCAGATCATTTAGCTACTAGCTAGTAAATAGCGTAGATGACCCAAATGGTCTCCCCTCCTTTTGTAAGCATTCTTTTGTTCTAGCTCATAGACATAATTTTGCTATTGCGCATCTCTGTCGGAATGTAATTCAGAATTCAGCTCGTTCACGTTTGGGAATCCTGGTGTGTTTTTAAAATCGCGCAGAAATAGGGAATCCAGCCTTCTGCATTCCTGGCTGGGTGCTGGTGAGTGTGATGACAGTTCGTCATGTCTCGGGGCTGTCCCTACTTTCCTTGTGTAACTGGATGACGCAGTACCAGGCTTGTCGCGGGTGATCCTGCTGATGTCACTGGAGTACAGTTATGAAAACTGAAGGATTGGAAGCTGAATGCAATCATTTTTAAGGAGACAAAGGAGCCTTTGGGAAACTTGGTCTAGAATGGCGAAAATGGGAATCAGCATATTTGCACGTGTCCTCGGGGCTGTTATGTAAATGCAGTTGTAGAGCATGATCTCTGTTGGAAACAAATATGTTATTTTGTGAGTTTAGCTCCCTGATCCCCTTCCTCTCGAGGGTTCGGAAGCCCAGGATGGCATGAGAATCTGTGAGCTGTCCCAGTAAGCCTTGCGGTGTGCGAAGTCTGATTGAAGAGGGGAGGAAGGCATGTCTTTGTGACACAGCTGGACTGTGGGCTCCTGGTGTGTAGAAACTGGAGCGTGCTGATCACACGGAAAGCCTGGCTTCAGTCTGCACTCACTCCTGAGCAGTGAGCCCTGGTTTCTGGGATATTGAGGGACCCCAGAATTACGTCTGCCATATTTCCATACACTCATAAATAAATAGAAACAAAGACAAAAGGCTAAGTGCTTGTTTTTCCAGGACTAGTTCGATTGGCCTAATACAGCTGGAATACAGGAAATGAACCCTTACGGCCAGTGTTGCTCTCAAGCCTTGCCCATTCCCATCATGAACCTCATGAGAAGTGAAATTACTGATAAAGAGCAAAGTGCATCTTTCTTGTTCGAGGTGACATGCTCTTTATATCCCATGCGTTGGGTGGTGAGCACAGCAGGGCTTGAAACAACAAGCCGATAGTTTGGACCCATTTGTAAGGCTCAGCGAATCACAAATTGATTTTGTTGATTTCTTCACACACCTTATTTTGACCCTAGCAGGTTTTCTTCAAACTCAGTCGACTTGCTTTCTTTAACCACAGTTAACCAAATTATGAAATGAGCTACTTCAGCTTGTGTGAATCTGAGACCCATTTAAGCTTTAATTTGCAGCGTATTGATGTTCTGACTGGGCACAATCATAGATTTCTGGGAGTGGCTCAGGCATAGATAATCAAGAAATGCAGCACAGATTGGTTCTCAGAATTAAAATATACTGCTTTGACAGCAGATAGAATGTATACTATATAGCGCCACGGTCGAAACAGCACAGACATGGTTATATCTTGTAGCTTGTCTTGTACATCATGTAGAGCTGTCAGGTGTTCATAATACCAGATGTGTTGTGGTGAAACTGGGAAATGACCGGTTAACACGTGTAAGTCTGTTTTTGCATGTGTGTCTTATTTCTTGGATCATAGCAGTGAGATGTCTCATGTTTATGCGGAGTGACAACCCTTTATTGTTGAAATAGATCAGCCACGCAGGGTCTATGCTGATCATTAGCCAATTACCATTGACTGCCTCCTAATTCAATCAAGCCTTGCTGGGCCGCATTGATTTCTGTGCTTTCTCCTGGGCGATGTCACCACGGGTGGGGCCCCCGACGAGGGCCAAGATCTTCCCCGAAGGGGTGCGTGAAACAGCGACGGCCCGATTTTTGGCCGGCCCCCCTGCGGGAGGCGGGGGTTGCAGTCGTGGCCTGTTTATGAGGAGGCCACGCCATCGGCCGCGGTTGTGAAGGTCTTCCTCTCCTTCCATCCCTGTTTGTGCTTTGTTGCCAGGTCCTCCCTGAGCGGCTGGACGCTGGGGGTGCAGGAGGCCGCCCTAAGTGACGTGGACTATTTCAGCTTCCTCTTCTCCACTCTCACAGGTAGGGCACGCTGGAAACTTCCCCCGTGTGTGACGTGCGAGCCACGTGCTCCTTTTCAAATCCGTACCCGAGTCAGGACTTTTTTTCCCCCCCTCTTGCCGGGTCTCAGACTGTGTGGTTCTGCCTCTCCTCTCTATGCAGGCTTCTCTGCGGAGGAGCTGTCGGTGCTGCAGGGAGGCAGTGAAGAGGACATGTGTGGCTCCTCTCCCCTGTCCCCACTCAGCCTTTACCACACCGAGCTGGAGCACTTCATGCACCACTGGGACGTGGTGGAGGTATGGTCATGGGCGACGGGCGATGCTCTTCCTCTGCTTCCCTTCATTTTTTCTCTCCTTCGCTTCACTTCTCTCTGTCATTTCTTCCATTTCCTGTTGTCCTGCTTCCTTACCTTCTCTTTTTTTCCTCATCTGCTCTCTCCCTCTTTCTGTCCATCCCCATAATTTCCAGTTACTCCCATCAGAATGCAGATGAACTTGAACTTTATTGCCATATGTAACCGATACATGTACTGGTACAATGGAATTCTTACTGACAGAAAGTCTCGATTGTTAAACCAAGTGTAAAAACACAAAGTGCAGACAGTGCATCAAGACAATATACAAACAGTAGACAATGTACAAGTAAACAAGTAAACAGTTTGAATGTTAACAATACAGACGTGTAAACAATGACTGGAGATGTGCAATAACTAAGAAATCATAATGAGGTAGATGGTGTAGGTGTGGTCCGAGGGGCATGGCTAAATGTGTTCGCCAATCGCACTGCTTGAGGAAAGAAGCTATTGAAATACTGACTCCCCAACAGATTTAAGTTCTCTTTTATACCTGTAGCCATATCGTTATTTAACACTTGACTTTCCCTGCAAATATGTATGCATATTGTTGTTCCTGTCATGTTTTTTTTCTCTTCTGTCTGTCTGTACACCAACACTGCTGCTGTAAAGCAACTTGGCCCCCCGGGGATAATGAAGACTCTCTTTCTCTCTATCTCTGTTCAGAGATGAAGGCCCAGCTTCGGGCTGGTTCGTACCTGTACCACTGATGCAGCATTTTACTGCAGGATAGCAGGCGGTTACAGCCGTACTCTTAAGATAAGCTGGCAGCAGACTGCACAGATCTCTCTCTGTCCCATTTCCCATGTCTGAAAATCCATCTTGTCCCAACAAATAGTGCTTTTCATAAACAAAATCCCTGTCTTATGACTAAATAATAGTTTGGTCAGGAAAAACAGAAAAAAGAGCAATCCTTCACCACCCAGCTGTAATTATCCACAGTAAGTTGATTATGCACTTGATATTATCTGGTCCTTCCTACTGGAACATGCTGCTAAAACATTAGGTTGCTGTGGCTTGTCTCAGCTTACCTCGAGGGAGTAGTACAAACTACAGCAGAAATACCGCCTTGGCCATTTACTGTAGCTGTTACCCTGCTCTGTGTGTTTGTCAGCCTGATCCTGACACCTGCTGTAAGTGGCGTCCTGAGCAGAGTCTGTTTTAAAGCCTCTCTTGGGAGAGTCTACAGTTTTTAGAGAGCTACAGCATGACGTGAGGCATTTGCTTCCTTCACCCCATCAATCAGCCTGCTTCAAGTCTGTCTCTACTTTTGCGCTTTGTACAGTTTCTTCTTGCAGGCTTTCTTTCACATGTTTAAACATTTCAGTTTTCAGTGATTGCAACCATAATGCTTTTGACTCTCATATTTTTTCTACACCTATTACAGAAATTACAGTTGTCTTAATAGACTACCAATGTTTTATTTGCCCTTATGTCGTAGTACACTTGCTGACTAGGGAAAGGCCCTTTTACAGTGCTTAACAATCAAAGGCAGTTGACTTGCATGTCTGCTTTGCCTTACGTTGTTCACAGCCCAGTGATTTTTTTATTTCACAGGTGCTGCCTTGCCTCATGCATCAGGTCATATTGTTAGAACTTCCATCTAGACCCACTCTTGTGGTACCAGAGAGAGGAAAGCACCTTTCCTGGCTTAGCAGGCTGCACTCTGTAGACTGTTGTTTTGCGATAGGTAGTGCGACGTTATGTGATGGCAGCACACAGTTATTATCTAAAGATTAAACGCGCCCTGAGCTGCAGTTAGGGGTAGTTTGATTATTTTTTCCCCCCCCCTTTGCATTTCCCCTATAGGGAAGTCTTGAAAAGCTCAAAGTGCATGTGGAGAGCTTTCTCAAGAGTTTGCAGTAGAGAGTGGGGGGGGAAACCCAAGGCTTGCTTTGTAAATGTCAGCTGGAGGCGGCATCAGTCAGCGGCCGCAGTTAAACGCCATGCAGTTCAGCCATAATGAGACAGATGTAGGAGAGTGACAGGGCTCTGGTACTCCACAGTTCAGCTCCTCACAGGGGTTACTTCTTAAAAGAAAAGGCACGACAATCTTTGTTCTCTTCCAGTGCTTCCAGTTGTTTGAAAGACCAGGAAGACAGATCTTACAGAGGAGGTGGTTTTTATATGGAAGGGGATAACCGATAATGGCTGATGGCTTTGTCCTGAGATGGTGTAATTATTTTAAACCCTTTCGTAAAGATCAATATGTTGGTACTGCCTTTTGAAGAATTTTTATTATGCTTTATTCCAGTTGCTCCAGTTCACCTAGCTGTATACAGTAAGTGGGGATTAGCATTGCTGTGATGGACTAGTGTCATGTCATGACTAGTGTCAGAGGTCATGTGTTGTCTTGTCTGTTTAACTCTTTGGAAAACAGGATGAGGTCTGACCCGATGAGTCTGTGGCTCAGGTGTGAAAATAACTGACCTTTTACATTACAGGAAACAAAATGGCAAGTTTTGTTTTTCTACCCAAAGCCTGACTTGAAGCCAGGCTTTCAGGGAGTGAAGACATACTGATTGGCTGCACATCAGGGTGAACACCTTTACTCAAGCTATTTGTCCACATGTTGAACCAGACCCGAGTTGAAATCGCTCACATGATCGTTAGAAATAAATGTGTACGGTTGTTTTCCGGAGGGGCTGGAACCAGAGCGTGATGGTCATTTTAGCACCCGAAGAGGTGGCTGTGTTTTATCCGTGAGCAATGGAGCTGAAGGAGGAAGGAATTCACCTTTAGAAGACGTAGTTTCACATCAGCCAGTTTGTTTGCTGGAGTAGACCTGTCTTCATTTCATCATGGTTGCTGTTAGGCATGCTGAAGTATTGTGAAGTCAGGTATGCAGTAGAGAGTTAGATACTGTGTGAAATTTTCTAACATCAACTGAAGACATCATCATGTACGAAATTGTCAATTTCCTGTAGATCCAAACATTCATGATGATGGTGACACAGAGACCTTGATAAAAGATGTACTTTTCCCACTGGTTAGCTTACGCATGATCCTCTAATCATGGATTTTGGAGGCTCTCATGAAACTGAACCTATATGGCACAGACGTATTGCACATTGGAACAAGGTGAAGTTAAGTCAACTCTGACACATAAAAATTAAAAACATAATTGTTGCTGCTGCAGCATGTTTGGCTGTTAAGGGGGAGGGAGTGCAGGTGGAGGGTGGGATTGGGAAGATGTAAGAAGCTGTGAGAGTGGGTAGGAGGAAGTACGAGGAGGGCTCGAGAGATTGAAATCTGGTTGACGAATTCCAGGGGAAATTCGAAAGCAACTAATCGGAAATTAATGGAGAGATTAGGTAGAAGTTGGGGTGAAGTTTCTGGGATAAATTTGGTCTTTAATATCTGTCTGGTGTAAGAATCTTGTGAAAGAATACAGGTGTCTTTTGCCTGAGTGGAGCCAAAAATGCGTTCGCGGTTCGTTTTATAATTGTTGAAAACTGTTTAAATGAATTAGTGCTAGTTTAAGTCCATGCATTCATAGTGATAATATAATTCGAATTCCTTACATTTTCTTGGCAAATTGAAGGTCAGAGGCCTTGACAGAACACAAAACTGAGCAAATGTGAAGTCTAAATCTGGTTGCTTAATCTTGTAGACTCTCGTGCAAAAACCAGACATTTATATTTTCACCATGGGAGGAACATGGCTATAGTGGACAGCTGTTCTGTGACAAACCTTAAGCACCATGGGGAAGAGGGGCATGTGCTGGTGGTTCTGTCAGCACCACGTGTCTCTTCAGTCACAAAAGTGACCTCACTGTTTATATGGTGTCGTTATGTTTGTCCATGGCCGTCTGTGACTTGCTGCATTGCTCTGGAGGAGAATTCTATGTGGACTGTGTGACCGTGAAGGACTAAGGAGATAAATTCTGTTCCAAACGCCTGCATAGCTTTTGACAGCCCATGCTGTAATCAGTGCTCCTCTCCGCACGGTCGTCTCTGAGGGGCCCTGCGTGTGTCTTCTCCATTGTGTGCGTCGAGCATGTCATATCATGGATAGCTGTTGATACATAGCAGGAATCTTCCTTTATAAACAAGAAGTGTGCAACATTTAGATTTTTCTTTTTACCTTTGTCCAATACATTTGGGTGTCACAGTGCTGCAGTGTGCATCCCAGTCTAAGTACCCTACTAGATCCGATTGGGCGGTGGGCCTAGCTGCCCCTGTCTCTTCCCATCAGGGCTAGGCAGACAGGAATATTAACCATCTTGGGGGGTTAGGGCCGAGATTATTGACAGGCTCCTGCTGCCCTCCATTAATGCTGATTAGAGCCGAGTCTGCCCTGGGGGTGGGGATGGGGGGGAGCACATATAAAGACTGATAATTTGTAAGAGCTCATGGCAAAAAAGAGGGAAATCAGTTTTCATTGCTTATTATCATGTCCGGGAGACTGTCACCTTATCCCATTTTAATTGAAACGGTGTCCAAGACAAGTGGTACAGAGCTGGGATGAGGCAAGGGAGAGGGGGAGCCTACAACATCGGGGGCTTAGATTGCCTGGATCACTGTTCAGTGCTCTTTACCTGGAGGAGCAGCTTGTACTGCTTTTGACTTCAAGGGCTGTGGCGGAAACAGATATTTAATGCCTTTGCTCATACTGTGGACAAGGAAGAGCTGTTCCATTCCGTTCAGCACATGCGTATGATTGTGTATAAGATTCTGTTGTATTCACAACCTTGTGCTCACTCCTGTCATGTTATGGTAATACTGCAGTCTCTTGCTTAGCACTGAGGGTGCATGCTAAAACACGGAGCCCTGTGGGAGTCAGTGTAATAGAGACAATAGCTTTCCCAAAAGCACGATTCAGTGCATGTGGATGAGAGGATCCAGGGGCCTAGAAACTCTGGGTGCTTCTGTCTGATCTGTCTGCATGTCACAGACAGAAAAACAGGCATACAGCCTTTAAATTAACAGCCAGGACAAAGAG